TCACTGAAGTTATCATTCAATGACATAAAAAGTAGGAAGTTATCTGTTCAATTTGTTCACATTGAGGTGCTAAGTGTTAGGACTTGGACAGGAGAGAGGGACAGAGGGAAAGAGAGAGAAAGACAGAGACAGAGACAGGGAGACAGGGACAGAGACAGAGAGAGAAGAGAGGTGGATGGAGCAAGAAAAAGACTCCAGAAGCAGCAGAGAGTCACAGTTATATGGTGAGGCAGTTAGGCAGAGGAAAAGACTCATAGATTGGTTGCTGGTTCCAGATCTAAGCTACTGTGCTCAGTTTCTGGGCACCACCTCATGGGAAGGACATTTCTAAGCTAGAGTGACCAGAGGATGAAAACCAGGATGAGGAAGGAACTGGGAATGTTTAGCTGGACAACAGAGAGTTCAGGGAGGACATGAGAGCTGTCTTCAAGCATATGAAAACGATCACTTGCCAGGCATATGGCCAATAGCATTCTTTTTCAGCTCCGAGATGGAGATTCTGGGAGTGAAAGCACTCGACTGGGCAGGCTGGGCCAATTCCTTGAATGGCAGGCACAGTATTTCCCTAGGAATTTCCCCATACTGGCTGTGTGACCCCTGGGGAAGTCCCAGTCCTTCAGTCATCCTTCCCAGCAAAAAAAAAAAAAAATGATGGTACCCCTCAATGGGCCACCAGAAGAATGATTAAGAGCCCTCCCTTTTGTAGAAGATTCCTGCTGTTCCCAGTACTTTCACACACTTTCTCTCATTGGTGGGGCAGATTTTGTTTCCCCCATTTTCCAAATGAGGAAACTGAGGCCCAGGAGAAGGAAGTAATTTGCCCAAGGTCACACATAGCCAATCATGGGCAGAACTGGGACTAGGTGTCAGGTCTGGAATGCAAAAGGACCTTTGGAAGTGATCTCATTTGACAGATGCCCTAGAGAGGTGGACACCATCCAAGTAGGACTGAGGAGCCAATCCAGGGCTTGTGACTCCTTCCACAGTATCAGTCAATCATTTTGAACATTTTTATTAATTCCCTGCTGTGTTTGAAGCCCTATTCTGGGCATGGGGAAAATGAAGATGAATGAAACACACAGACCCTGGACCTCAAGAAGCAGCCAATCTAGCGTGGGGAATGGGGGAGCGTGAGTGCACCAATAACTATGATACATTCAAAGACTGAGATACAAGCTTTATGTGTGGTGCCAGACCTGAGATTTCAGCCATATAGGGAACTCCTGTTATGGACTGTCCCTCCATCAACACAGGTTGGCAGTTTTTCTGTAACTTTAGCCTTACAGCCTCTGAGGTCCTAAGATGTTAAGTGATAGGTTAAGAGTCACGCAGTCAGTACACGGTGGAAGCAGGTCTTCTTGGCTCTATCATATCACTACGGTAAAAGGAAAGAACACCAACAGAGTCAGAAGATCCAGGTTCCAATCGTGCCTCTGATTCCTGCTATCTGTGTGATGGAGGACAAGTGACTTAACCCTCCCTGGGCAACAGAAAGGCCTCATCTGACAAATGAAAGAGTTGGGCCAGATGAATTTTAACATTGTCCCTCTCTTATGAGAGATCACAGATTTAGGGCTGGAAGGGACTTTCCAACTAATCTAACTCATCCTTCTCCCCCAGTTTACAGAGAGGGAATTCAGGTCCAAGAGAGGTTAAGTAATATATCCAAAGTCACAAAGTTAAGAAGCAACAGAGCCAGAATTCGAACCCAGGTCTTGATTCCAAATCCATCGCTTTCTCCATTCTACAATGCTGCCTCTCAGTTTGAGATCATTTCTACCTGCAAAGGTCAGGGAGGAGGTGAGATGGCATCGGAGTTGGACGTTGGAGGGAGGGAGGGCTATATCAACAGAGGAAGTTTGCTGGGGAAGGAATTCAATCTAGGCACGAAAAGCTCCCAGATGAGGGAGATCGGGAGAGAAGAAAAGAGAGTTCCAGTTTGACTGGAAGGTAAGTAAGTGATCTGGAGTTATATGAGATGAAATGGAAAGGGTGAAGCACCAGATTGTGAAGTCAAGGCAGAGCAACTGAGCTCAGAGAAAAGGCGTTCATGTGGTCCACCCAGCCCAATCCTCTCATTTTGCGGATGCACAAATAGCTTACCCGGGGCCACTCAAAGGAGTAAAAGATAGAACTAAAATTTGAACCTGGTACCCAAATTGACTCCAAACATGGTGCTCTTTCCTTTATAGCACAATTCCTCCCTCCTAGAGAAGGGTAGTGAGTCGAGAGGAATCTTCAAGAGGTCTCTTCAAAGGGTGCTAAGGTGTTCAATCACAACTGAAAGGTGTGCATTGAGAGACAGCTTTCAGAAATAAGGAGGTGAGAGTCCCACTCTACCCTCTGCCTTCTGCAGTACTGTGTTCAGTTCTAGGTGCCACATTTTAGGAAGCTAGCAAATAGCCAGAGGTGGCTGACCAGGACCAACTGATCAATCACCAAGCATTTATTAAGCACCTACTGCATAGCAGGCACTGGTGCTATGTGCTGGGAACACAAAGACTAAAATAAACTAGTCCTTGCCCTCAAGGAGCTTACATTCCATCAGGGAGACACCATGTATATAAGTACTGTGTATAAGTACATACATATGTGGGGGGCAGCGCTAGGTGGTACAGTGGATAGAGCACCAGCCCTGGAGTCAGGAGGACCTGAGTTCAAATCCAATCTCAGAAGCTGAGTGACCCTAGGCAAGTCATTTAACCCTAACTGCCTCACCAAAAAAAAAAGAGTATATACATATGGTGTTGTTATGTTATAATATTTATTATATTATTATATACAAAACAAATAAATACATCATATTTTTGAAGGGAAGGCACTAGCAACTTGAAGGGAAGATGAGGAAAGACTTTGTGTAGGATGGCAAAAAGCTCTGAAATCCTACCATATCTAGGAGCCAGTTTGTTTTAGCCCAAAGAAGAAAAGATTTAGAAGGGAAAAGATATGTTTCTTCAGATGTTGTTTGAGGAGTTGTTATGTACATGAGGGATTAGACATTGTTTGGCCCAAGACAGCAGGACTAGAAACCATTAATGGGTTGGAGTAGAAGGCTGGGGTGGGGGGAGAGGGTTCAAGAGAAATGGCTGAAGGGGTGAATCAGTATGGGAGGGAGAAAAGAAGGATGCAGATAAATAGAGCAAGCTCAGCCACAAGTGGGTGATTGACTTGGTTGTCTAAAGGGAGCTCTAACCCCACAGGGTGCTGGGTAAACTGGAGTGAGGGGGTTTGTCACGTAAGGCCAACCAAGATCATTTGAACCAAGCTGCCCCATACCCTGTCCTGTTTCTTCTCAGCATGAAGCTTACTTTAAAATAATCATAAAATCCCAAGGTTGGGGTGTTTGGGAAGCCAATAAGCAGTTGGTAAACTTAATTTCTGTTTGAAGAACAGAGGGGTAAACTTGGCAGGTTGGGAAGGGAAACAGAGAGCAGAGCTCAACAACGAAGGGTTAACTTCCCAAACAAGAAGGTATTGCAACTTTTGCAAGTGAGATCCAGGAAAAGCTCCCTCTCCAGTCTGAGGCTCTAACCTCCCAAGAGCAGAGGAGGGAAATGGGCCTGGGCAGAGATGGGGGGGGGGGGACCCTGGGCTCTGAAAGTCCCTTGCTGGATGGAGTATCAGCTTCTTCTCTCCCTTCCCATCCATGCCTCAAAGCGGCACTTGGGGCCCCCAGGTAGCCCACTGCGAGACCCTCTGTTTGTTCTCTGAGCATCTTTGAAATCAATGGAAGAAAGAGAAAAGGGAGGAATGTTGAGTTGTGGGACGAGAAGAGGAATGGGGAGGGGGACAGTCCCCGAGTCTCCAAATGGATTCGCCACTGGGAGGGAGGAGGCGTTTCCCCCACACTCCACTTGCATTGAGTCAGGCTGTCAAGCAAAAAGGAAGCAACTATCTGAACTCGGGCTTTGGAGAGGCGCACCACCGACGGGGAGGGATCTTAAGCTTTGGCAGGGACTCCCTGGCCCTGCCTCCCCAACACTGTGACCACCATCACCTGAGCTGCTGGGACATCCTCTGGGTGGACACCACACACCCACCTGTCGTCCCTCAGCTAGCCTTTGGCAGAATGGGACAGCAGCAAGGCCATTAGCGCCAGAAAGGGGCCAAGCCTATGCCAATGAGTTCCTTAGGCGCTTGGCTAGGGAATAGCCCTGGCAGCCAATCTTTGCCCGCAAACGCTCCTGGAGCCCCACCACTTGCCCACTCCAAGACCTCTCTCAGAAATGGATTCTTCCCCCGGAGAGAGGCCCCCACCCCCAGGGCTGAAACTCGGGAGGTGGCCCTAGGCCTGGGACCCTTTCCTGTCTCGACAACCAGAGGCCAAAGCTTTCCGAGCTACTGCCCAGGGCGCGTCCCACGGTTGTCCCCCCATCCCCAACTCCTCACAAACATACACGCGCACACACACACACACACACACACACACACACACACACACACACCCCATACATACGCGCACACACATAATACTCAAGGGCACCAAGGCTGACCCTGGCTGCGCTTCCCGCCCCTCTCTCTCTCAGCCCAATTCCTTTGCTCTACTACCCAGAGAGACATGGAAAAGGTGGCCCAGCCCCCTTCTGCACAGAGGGCAACTAGGGCGCTGCCCACGTTCCCCCCACACACACTCTCCCTGTGCCCAGCCTCCAGCCCAAGCGCTCAGCTCGACGCGATCACTCCCCCCACCCCCGCTGCCCTAGGCGCACGCAGCCTCCCCACTACCCAGGGCTCTTAGCCTAGAGGGCTCCTCGTTTTGCCCCCCTCCCCGGCCGGGGGCCCTGATCCCTCTGCAACACCCCCCCCTCCCCCGGTGACAACCTGGCGCAGATCCTCCTCCTGCCCTGCCCAGCCCGTGCAGCTACCCTTCCTCTCCTCCCTCCTCCCTCGAACGGGTCTGTAGCGCTGTCTCTGCCTCCAGGCCCGTGCCCAGCGTCCTCCTCCTCCCGCTCACCATCCCTGTGCCCAGCGCCCGGGCACCTCGGGCGCTCCCTGCTCACCTGACATGTCCTCGTCGTTCTCCATCTCCTCTTCCTCCTCCTCGGGCAGCTGCGGCGGCTCCTCCTCTGTGCCCAGCGGGCCCCGCATGCCCGGCACGGGGGGGAGGGGAGGGGAGATGGGAGTCCCCCCCCGCGGGGCGCGGTGCCAGCCTTAACCCGTGCGCTGCCGGAGCCGCGGGCGCGGCGGGCGAGGCCGGCTTGGTGGAGAAGATGGCGGCTACCCGTACCCCCCCACCCCCCCCAAATCTCAACCCTGGACCCCGACCCCCTCCTTCTCCCACCCGCGTAGCTACGCTCCCTGAAAAGCCCCCCCGAGCGCCTTGGCTCGGCCACTCCGGAGCGCTCCGCCCACCCGCGCCCCGCAGCCTAGCCTGAGTCCCGCAGCCGCCCGCCGGCAGAGGGAGGGAGGCGGCGGCGGCGGCAGCGCCGGCGGCACGGCGGGGGGGCGGGGTTGGGGGGGTTGGGGCACACATGCCCGGATTGTGACGTCCAGTCTGGTTGCCGTAGCAACCGCATCCCATCGTTCCGGCAGCGCCACGAGTTCGCACCCCGGACCAACTTGGGGGGAACTAGTCTGGAGAGGGCCCGGGACACCGGCGGGGATCGGAGGGGGTCGGGCCCAAGAAAGCTGTCAAAGCCCGGGACTAGGTGGAGGGGCATCTCGAGGCCCAGCATGCAGTCCCGTGGTGGCCTCAGAGACTTGGGGGAGCCACCAGCCAGACGGCTGAGCGCCCCTCTAAGGCCACGGAGAGGGAAACTAAGGAGGGAGTGACAGGCAAGGGCAGGGAAGTGGATTTGTATCCTCTTCCTACAGGGAACCCAAGGGGCCCTGGTCAGGGACTGCCGCCTAGACTTCTCTTCCCCTGGAGAGTAGTCCGGTCGGGGTGGGGTGGCCTCGTGTACCGGGAGTGGTGGGATCGGGGAGCAGGATGCGCCAGACCCCACCCCAAGGACAGGAGATGTAGGGGGCGGGTCCCACGAGCTCTAAGTGGAAAGAATAACCTGGAAATAAGCCTCCTGGGGCCAAGACCGTCTTCTCTGCTTTCCTCCCACAGTATGTAGAATGCACCCCCACAGTATGTAGAATGCACCTCCCCAGTACCCCCACAACCCCAGTCCCACCCCCTCACGCACACAGACACCTCCGTGCCCTGCGCACTGGCACTATTGCCTCAGCCCAGCTGCCTCTCTAGACCCTAGTGGGGCAGACAGTAAATAGCTGCTCCTGCACCTCACAATGAGAACATCATCGCCCCACCAGGGGGCTGCTGTGCAGGCCACAGTCCCTAAGTTCCCTTCCAGGCGCTTGGCCCTCCTTCCCTAGCCTTCTTATACTGCCCCTTTTACCTACTCTTGCTTTAAGCTAGGCTGTTTTCAGTAATCCCTTGGGAGATGGACGTCGACCTGCATTTTAATATCAGGCCCGAATTATTTGGACATCCACCCCCTTGGCCTTCATCTAGATGCTGAGTCTCAGGGAAAACCAAAGGGGGAAGAGCTCCCGAAACCAGCGACGAACTATTAAAAAAGGCAAACACGCAGCCAAATCCCCACTCCCGAGCTGGGGAGAAGGAAAAAAAAAAAAGGCAAAAGCTGTCACAACAGAGCCCTGATAATGAAGAGAGCTCCCTGGGAAGACTTGCAGCATCTCTGATTTGCTAGCAAAGTTTCAGGAGCCATGTGCCGGGAGCAAGACTTCCAACTTGTAAAGCACTCTGGGACTGGGCTGCGCAAAAGCGCTGACATCGGGCCCTTTTGGAGACGACAGAATTTTAAGGTTAGCCCCGTGCCCCCACCCGAACTCCCAGAGGGTCAAGAACAAGCAAGAGCCTTGGATCGAATTTCCAGCCCCAGCACAGAGCAAGCCAACGGCATCCTGATACTATGCACCCACAGGGGAAAACAAATGTTTACCTTCCAGGATCAATCAAAGGTCTGAGTGCTTACTCTGTGGCCAGCAGGGCACTTAACCCATCAGGCGGAAGATTTCACCCCCCCCATCACTTTAAATTGGGGTTAAAGAATCTTACCAGAGTTCCTCCCGGGATTTGGGGAGTGGTGGATCTAGAAACTGCCACCCTTGGGGGGGAAGGGGGCGTAGCGCAACACTGACTTGGACTGACCTTTCTTGGCAAGAAAATTGAGAGGCCGTTAAATGCCTGACAACTAGTCAGGTGGTGGCTTGAGGGCCGGGAACTCACCAGGGAGGTAAAGAAATCCACCGAGCTTCATCCTTCCCATACCACGGCCAAATTAATTGCCAGCCAGCCGCAGATAAAAGGTCTTCATTGCTCACACAAGCAGTGGGGCATAGGGAAGACTAAGCCTGCTTGATGGCCAGCCTCTGCTTGGACCACAGTGCAGCTGAGCATCTCCGGTTACCTACAGGCCCATCTCTTTTTAAATCATGCTGCAGATGGAGATATTTAAGTCACTGGAGTGAATACCTCCAAGCCTCCGAGAAGGCTGACTGAAAAGAGCCAAGAAGGTGACGGTCTCCGGGGCTTTCTAGGAAACAAAGCAACTGGCTCCTGCTTATTTAAAGTTCCTAGGAGGAAAATACCCATCCATTTGCTTCCACTGAGCACCTAGCCAAGGGGAACCTAGCATCCTCAGCTCACTTTTTTTTCCCAGCAAGACGTCATTAATGTCTATTTCCAAGTCCCACATCTGGGGGGGAAGTTCCTCCTGAGTGATTCACCATTAAAAGTCACCACCAACCCCCCAAATAACACTGCATCCAGCAAATCTACAAGGCTTCTCACCACCACCAGGAATACACACTTTTCCCCCTGGACCTAATCTCTAAATAACACCCACCCCGAACACAATAGTACCATCTGTCTTTGGGCATTTGCAAACCCCATGAGGGGATTCTGTCTTACCTAAACTTTGCATCTGCTCTAGCAACAACCTAGCATACTGGTCTGCTTATAATCAATGTTTAATAACTAATGTAAGTTGAATTGAAAGGAGGAATTGGGTGTGCCACATCCCACTTTGGGGAACCATTGCTTTTCTGAGGTTTTCAATACCTACCTTCACAAGCCTGGGTGGCAGTTTAATTCAAGAGACAATTATTAAGCACCTGCTATGTACAGGGCACCGTACCTAAGTGCTGGACATTCGAAGACAAAAACACAGAACAGTTCCTGCTCTCAAGAAAACTTACATTTTACTAGAGAGAAGTGTTTAACATGCATAAAAATAAGTAAATTCAAGTCGTTTCAAGAAGGGGCACAACCATAGATCTATAAGAGACCTCACCCTCCATTTACAAAGGAAGAAACCAAGGCTTAGGACAAGTGAATTGTCCAAGACACAAGGGCTTCAAAGAGAAGATTTGAACCCATAGCCTCCGATTGCAAAGCTAGGGTTTTTTTTTTCCTGCTATACCAGTCTACCTCTATGAAAAAGACAGGCCTACTGTAAAAGGTGACACCTGACCTGGGCTTTGAAGGAACCAAGGAGAACACTGAGGAACAGAAGTGGGAGGGGCAGCTAGGTGGCACAGTGGAGAGAGCTCCGGCCCTGGAGTCAGGAAGACCTGAGTTCAAATCCAGCCTCAGACACTTGACACTAGCTGTGTGACCCTGGGCGAGTCACTTAACCCCAATTGCCTCACAGAAAACAAAAAAGTCTATAAGTGGGAAGTGGAATGTTGTATAGATGGAGCTGCTAGCAGGCCACCAGGATAGGAGCAGAGTGTGAGTGAAGGGGCAGCACTGAGAGGGCCTTAAAATGCCAGGCTGAGAATTTCAAGTTCTCTTGTAGAAGCAATATGGAGCCACTGAAGAGTTTTGATAAAAAGGAATGTGATTTGGTCAGACCTGTGCTTTACAAAAATCAATCTGGCAACTATGTCAGATCACAGAAAGGAAAGAGTGAGGCCCAGGGACCAATTAAGGGGCTATTACTAGACACTTGACACTTACTAGCAAGTCACTTAACCCTGATTGCCTCACCAAAAAAAAAAAAAAGGCTATTACAGGGGGCAGCTAAGTGACTAGTGGTGTAAAGAGAATCCTGGAGTAGGGAGGACCCAAGTTCAAATCTGACCTCAGATTCTTAAATAGCTGTGCAACCCTAGACAAGTCACTTAACCTCTATTGCCTCAAAAAAAATTTTTTTAATGAAAAAAAGGTTATTACAACAGTCCAGGAAAGAAGTGATGGGGTCCTGAACAGAAGAGGCTGTGTGAGTGGAGAGAAGGGGCCAGATGCTGCCATAACAGAATCAAGACTTGGAAACTGACTGCCCTCAAATGACAACCTGACTTCCATACAACCTACCATGAACCTTGTCAAAATTAACATAGCAAGTGAAGTCAATGAACACCGAGCAAACATCAAGCATGTACCAGCAGCTGGGAAGAGACAAAATGAAAACTCATCTCCTGTGCCTGCCCTCAAGAAGCTTACAGTCCACCGTAAAGTAGCAAGGACACTAGATCTGGAGTCAAGGGCGAGGGCCCCCCATCCCAGCTCAGGTTCTGACTAGCTACATGGCCATGAGTAATATACTTAATTTCTCTGGGTTTAGTTTCTTCATCTTTAAAATGAGAGGCTTGGACTGCGGAGAATAGATGTGCTAAAGCATAAGGAATGGGGCAAATGTCCTAATTAAAAAAAAAAAAGAGAGAACAGAACTCCCAGCACCAGGAGGAGGTTGCCTTCAATTCCTGTTCTAGAATGTGTCACTAACGAGATGGTTTACCAACAGAAGTGATCACAAAGAGTTGCTGAGACTCCACCGCATCAGGAGTTGGTCATGCTAGGCTAAATCTAATTCCTGTTTTAACAGATTTGCAAAACTAGCGGATGATGGGTCTATATGGATAATGTTTGCATGTTGTCTTCCCAACTAGACTGTAAGCTCTTTGAGGGCAGAGACTGGGGAAACAATTTTTCACCCTGTTTTCCCAGCTTGTTTCTTCACTTCTTTGTATCTTCTGCACTTAGCATAGTACCTGACACATAATAGGTGATTAATAAATTGCTGACTGACTCAAGTGATTTGCCTAGGGTCAGACAGCCAGGATGTCAGGGATAACACTTGAGGCAGCTCTCTGCCACTCTGATATGCTGCCTCTTTTTCCCATGAGTTCAGTGAGAATTTTTTGTTAAAAGAGCAAGGTATTGGGGCAGCTAGGTGGCAAAGTGGATAGAGCACTGGCCCTGGATTCAGGAGGACCTGAGTTCAAATCTGCCCTCCGACACATAACA